TTTATATGTGTAGAACGACATTGAAAATTATCCCGCATGTGTATCTTTTGAACGAAAAATCGAAATTTATTTTGAGGAGAAATAACGATTATTTCTAACCTTAGGGATGAAGTATGAAAAGATGAATTGTGAAGAGTAATGATAAACGGAAAAATAAAGTGTCCAGGGATGGGATTTATCATTACTCTTCACAATTCATCCTTTCATACTTCATCCCTAAGGTTAGAAATAATCGTTATTTCTCCTTAAAATAAATTTCGATTTTTCGTTTAAAAGAAACACATGCCGTATAATTATCAAATGTCGTTATACAATTATAAGCCGCATTATATTGTATTATATATAAAATGAAAGGATTTAAAAGCACGAATGTGTTTCTTTTATACATAATACAAACTTATATTGTCCTTACTGCGATGAAAAAATATATTGGAAGGGCTTGGTACATCAGTGGTGAACCCTCCCAGTGGTTTCGTCAATTTACCCCACCAGACCGCTTCTCAGAGTTCTAATACTGTATTGGACGATTCTGCTTATATACGCAGCACTGAAGGGTGGAATCTCAGAAATGGTTTTCAAGAAAACTATGGACATAAGCTTTTAGGACAGTAGAATTACATTCAAATATTTGCATCGAGCAATGCTCTTATGTATAATCTATATGTGTATATTCAGCTTTAAAAACTGAATTAGAATATTATGTAGGAACATATACAGAATTACTGTGACAATAACGGTGGATGGTTTGTTCAAGGCTTGAATCTCCACACTGCCAACACACTTCACTCTAGAATACTGAATCTGGAACAACAAATGAAGAACCTACTTGCACCCTAACTGTAAATACTCAATTCTCCACTCTGAAAAATGCTGCATACACAACAGTAGTATTAATCTTGTATTAATAAACATATTTTGTAAGTATTCTTTAGTCATTTTCTTCTTTTATTTATTCTCAATATATTGTAATATTTAATTTTTTTATCACCGAATTAAATAATCTGTTGCTCTTGATGATGATTTGTCAATTTATATATTTTATGATTATTTTTTGTTTTGTTGTTGAAAAAGAGAGAGAGAGAGGTGCAGTCGTGAAAAAGTAAAGATACGAGGGGCATCCAATAAATAAGTTTCCCTATTTTTTAACAAATAAACCACATTATTTACAATTATGCAGTTATTTTATTTTCATTATACAACTCATAGACTACTTCTCTAAATAATCACCATTTCTGTTCAAACATTTTTGGTACCGTTGTAGCAATTTTTAGATACCACTGTTGTACCAAGCCGTGTCCTGTCTTAGTAGCCAGTGGTTCGCCTCCGCCTGCACTTCGTCATCATTCGCAAAGTGCTTGCCTCCAAGGTGCCACTTGAGTGCTGGATAAAGATGGAAGTCGCTTGGGGCAAGTTCCGGAGAATGAGGTGGATGTGTGAAAATTTCCCATTTGAAGTTTTCCATAGCCATAACTTTGCCTGCAGAGATTGTGACCTTGGCCTTTTTTGGTGCACTTTCCTCAGGCTTCTTCCACACCATCTTTGTCGTTTTGTTTCTGGAGTTGAATGATGCACCCAGCTTTCATCTCCAGTGACAATACGGGAAAACAGTTGATCTCCATCTCTTTGATGCATTTCCAGGAAAACTCGGGCTGCCTCCATCCATTGTTGCTTATGATTTTCCAAGATCAATCTTGCGACCCATCTTGCGCAGACTTTGCGAAAATCCAAAACATCTGACATGATTGTTCCAATCAAAGAGCGTCTAATTTCGATTCCAGGAGGCAGTCGAATTATTATTTCGTCAATGGTGACTCGGCGATCTGCTTACACCACATTCCGAACAACAGCAACGGCTGCATTGTCCGTAGCAGTAACAGGGCTGCCGCTTCGCTCGTCATCATGCACGTTTTGCCATCCTTCTAAGAACCATGAACGCCATCGGCGAACCATTTGGATGCTCATACATTCTTCACCATACACTGACACTGAATTGCGATGAATATTGACCGCAGTTTAATTTTTCGCCGTGAAAAAACGAATTACAGAACGGAGTTCGCAAGTGGACACGTTCACCAGTGGTAGCTCCATGGAAACTGAAGCGCTACGGACTTGCGCGTACGAGTTAGCGTGATTTTGAAGGTCACCAGCTTCCAACGCATCCTAGTGACCATTTCATCTATACTAACTAATTTTTACAACGTTTCGTTCCCAGAAAAAAAAATAGGGAAACTTATTTATTGGATGGCCCTCGTAATTATTTACCTTTCAAGTAGTTTTTTTTTATTTTGAATTACTTGAAGTAAAATTACACATAAAATTATTTTATCACAGCAATATAGAATTTATAGAATGAATTCTATAATCGTGATTTTTAAAAAATAGGTAGGTTTAAATATACATATTTAAAACAATAATTAAAGTGGTATGTTCTGAATCTATGGTCAAAAAATATAGAACAGTCAATGAATGAAAATGAAATATATTCGCTTTTAAAAAAATAAAATATTTGCATTTTAGATTATATAATATATATATATATATATGTGGCAATATAATAAAGTGGGGAAGAGAAATAATCACACCACAAGTTGGAAGAGGAACCCAGGCAACCAGAGAGAGGGAGAGAGCCGGGCCCGGCACAGCCGGCGGCCGTTTGTGTCGCACACAATCCCCAACTGTCTTAATATTCCCGAGAAATCACAGGCCCCTGTGGTCACCCCTTGGAATGTCACTGGTGTCCTAAATGACCGGACTTCAGTCGTCCGTCTCTCTCTGGGTTGACTGTAGATTTGCTTCATTATTCCTGGAAGAGTATATAATATGACATATGTCTAAAGAGACAAGGGTCGCCTCTCCCGTCACAATAGACGTCTAAAACCAGACGCCATCTATTGACCGTCGCCGCAACTAGCGGCCTCGGGTCGGTGACAAAGCCACAACATAATCTTTGGCAAACTGAAAAGCGTCCACCTATCAGTTTGATAAAGCTGGTGTTGTGGCTTTGTCACCGGCCCGAGGCCGCTAGTTGCGGCGACGGTCAATAGATGGCGTCTGGTTTTAGACGTCTATTTTGACGGGAGAGGCGCCCTATGCTTCTATGGATCAATTTCCTCCCGGCAAATTTGCCATCTATATTCTAGCCATAGATTTGGCCCAGCCACCTTGCCAGCAAAACACCTCTTTGGTAGATTGTGAAGATTCCATTAGATCCCGTGTGGATCTCATGGAATAAAGTCCGCTCTAGACTGACGAGGGCCATTAGCCCGAAACGATGGTCTCTAGGTGGACGCTTCTCAGTTTGCCAAAGCTGGTGTTGTGGCTTTGTCACCGACCCGAGGCCGCTAGTTGCGGTAACGGTCAATAGATGGCGTTTGGTTTTAGACGTCTATTTTGACGGGAGAGGTGACCTTTGTCTCTTCAGATTTAATTTATTTATCACTGAATTATTTATTTTAATAATCTGTTGCTCTTGATGATGATTTGTCAAATTATATTATTATTTTTATATTTTATTATTAAAGAGAAGCACGTAGTCTATCAGACTATTGTGCTATATTAGAATTATTTACATATATATCTTTAATTATTTACACGATGAATTAGTAGTGATTTATAAATCTGTATACAAATAGCTCTACACTTGCCAAAATTTTCATAAGATTGAGTATATACAGAAAGATGGCATTATGTCAAAGTAAGCAAGTACAATTAGAATTATATATAAATTATTTTGACAAACATTTGCATTTTTATCTTAAATCAGTTTTTAGTGAAAAAAAAAGTTGTTTTTTTTTTGTTTGTTAAGTAAATCGACCTCTCATGCATTCTAATTAGACGATTGTGGCCATGTTTGTATATAAGAGGGAGCTAAGGGAATGCGAAAGGCCAGTGTGGTGGATTATTGTGTAGAGACGCTCAAAGTGTTCTCTGCGTGATTTATCCGTGTCTGGTGTTCTCCTCGCATACCTGTGTGACCCCGATCTCTACCAACGCTACAATAAAAGATAAGTACTGTTTTTTTTTTTACAAATCGTGAGTTTTTATTTACATAATTTTTATTCTTGGTGTTGTACTCTTGAATGTATGCTTTTCTGTATTACTCTTACTTTAGGCCTTAGTATATTGCATTTTTGTGTGATAACCTGCAAAAGTAAAATTTCTCAGATTCAGAAACATCTAGAGTCCTTCACTTCATTTGTAAATAAATGTGATGATCGTTTTAAGGATTTTGCTTATCCTAGTACACGTGGTACAGGCCATGATAATCATGGTGGGTAGAAGTAGGCGACTGCGTTTACTGTAAGTGCACCACATGTCTACAAACGTGAAAAGCAGTTCGACTTTGCACTTACAAATCTGCCAGAGAACTTTTGGTTACTTGCACTTGCTGGTGGGGTTGGACTTTTGCAAGTATCTGAGGCCATTGGAGCATTTTTTAATCAGAAAAAAAGTGCCCGATGCGGGAATCGAACTCGGGTCGTAGCGGTCGAAAACCAACGGTTTAGACCATCTTTCCACCGACCCCCTGCTTTGCCTGTAGAAGGATTATAAAGATCAGAAAGCTTATACTTTGCACGAATAAAGAAACGTAGTGCTACAGTTTATAATCTTATTTTACACTTTATAGCAATTTTCTCTTCTGTTTACTTTACTATCTGGTAAATATCTTCTGATACTATTATCCTTTTATCCAGTGTGTGTGTGGGTAGTTGGCGTTTTGCGCTCCAGGAACCTGGGTTTAAATATATTCAGTGCTTGGAGAGATTGATTATTCCAGACATTGATTGGATGAAAGAAGGCGAGAAATACTCAGAATCCGACAAATCACCGAAATGAATCCTGAAAGAAACAAGTAAGTGGAACTGAAACAGAACGAGATGGTGAACATTTTCAGAATCGAGGTTTCAGACTTCAAGTAATGTTAGAATCACCAAACTATACTACTTTCAATATGTTTGTAGCTATTTTGTATTATATGAAATAATGGAATAAAGGTCGGTGTGTTAATGGATGAATGGTATAAATTGTTGATTTATAATAGCAACGACCCGGGATCGAATCCCGCATTGGGCACTTTTTTTTTTTTTGAAGGATTTCTACAATGATTCCCAATTGGTGAGAAATTGGAAACTCAACAGTGAATGGAAGTACCAAACATGGCTCTGATACACTTTTAGTGCAAAAGTCTGACTTTTTTTCTACATGTGTAGAGAGGAAGGCACTGAAGGAGAGAGATATGGAGAGACCATGTGGCCCACCCTCATTAGAGGAAGACATTGAAGGAGGGAGATATGGAGAGACCATGTGGCCCACCCTCAGTAGAGGAAGGCATTGAAGGAGGGAGATATGGAGAGACCATGTGGCCCACCCTCATTAGAGGAAGGCATTGAAGGAGGGAGATATGGAGAGACCATGTGGCCCACCCTCATTAGAGGAAGGCATTGAAGGAGGGAGATATGAAGAGACCATGTGGCCCACCCTCAGTAGAGGAAGGCATTGAAGGAGGGAGATATGGAGAGACCATGTGGCCCACCCTCATTAGAGGAAGGCATTGAAGGAGGGAGATATGGAGAGACCATGTGGCCCACCCTCAGTAGAGGAAGGTACTGAAGGAGGGAGATATAGGGAGACCATGTCGCCCACCCTCAGTAGAGGAAGATACTGAAGGAGAGAGATATGGAGAGACCATGTGGCCCACCCTCAGTAGAGCGAAGCACTGAACACAGAGGCACTGAAAGAGGGAACACTTCACGATTTTGCGCGTCATCCACAGGGGTCATGCTAATCTTATCCGTATCGTTCCAATTTTAGTATATGTACCGCCTAACAAGCGTGTATACTGAAGGAAGGTGATATAGAGAGATCATGTGGTCCACCCTCAGTAGGTGATGGTACTCAAGGAGAAGCACATATTCCCTTGGGTAAATCTTAGGACAAACAGAATTATTGTTCTAATAGTAAATAATAGTTAAATTCCACCCCCCCCCCCATTTTATTTATAATAAAAATAGCATAATTACCATTTGTTAAAAAAAGTATTCTGAAAGTACATTCAAAGTACAATCTTTAGAAGTATACTTTTTAAAAGATCAAGAAATTATCACAAAAACAGTAATTAATTGGTAGAAAACCCTCCATTTTGCAAACTTTGTTCTGCACACTAACATAGATCAGGTTGATGGCTAGGTATTCTCTTTGATTGAATTCTTAAGCCAGGGGAATGTACTAGCTGTCACGCTCAGTTATAATAATTATCTTATATAATTGTGTATTCTTTTTCCCAAGACGGATAATATTCTTTCAAAGTAGTAAATATAAAAACATTTTATAATATTATAAAATAAATAAAGCTTCCAGGGTTAAGTTTCTTGTACAAATTTTTATTTTCAAGCTTTCGGACTTGTGTCAGTCCTTTAACAGGAGTATCACGATAATAAATTGATGTTATATATTATTTTATATACAAATTATTTTTTTACATATTTAAATATTAATGATATTGAAAGGGCGTATCCTCCACCATGCACGTATATTTTCAAAATTGTTTATAACACACAAAGAATGTAATATATATTTTCTCCCCCTTTCAATATCATTAATATTTAAATATGTAAAAATTATTTTGTATATATAATAGTATATATCATTATTTTATTATCGTGATAATCCTGTACAAGGACTGAAAAGTCAGAAAGCTTGAAAATAAAAATTTTAACAAGAAACTTGACCTTAGAAGCTTTATTTATTTTATAATATAAAAACATTTTACCTATATCCAAAGTATTTTCGCGTATATGAGAGTGAAAAACACCTACAACCTTCTCCAATAGATGACGCTTCAGATTATTTCTGCTCTGGGATTAGTTTGGGAGTCGCTTACTGCTGTGATCCTGTTTCCTAGAACTAATAACTATAAATTTATGTTTATATTGGTTCTGGGATATAAATTAGTGTAAATAACTGATAAATGATATTTGATTTCTTATGTAATGTGGTTTAAAGATGACAAAAAAGAGAGGAGTGTTAGAAGTATTGTTGCTGGTTGCTGTTGTGACTCTTTCTTCCACGCCACAGTCGCTACTCTTCTGGTAAGTCTCTCGTATCCCTCCACCAGTGGTAAGGCCGAAAGATACTGCCAGAGGAAAGGAGATCCACTTGAGTGGTGGTTCTCGCAGGTCTTCAGGTGGTCTGCAGGGAAGGGCTGCAGAGGAGAGCAACGGAGCCTGGGTAGGTGATCCACGAAGGAAGAAGCGGCGTAGTCGCGAAGAACCGGAGAGGGCACGCGCGACAATATGTATGGTACAGGAAATGATACGTAGTTTTATAGGCTTTTAACTTATGATAGCTACACTACATAATTATATTGAAAATAGAGCAATCTCCATAAATAAATCTTTAAATAAAAAAACATATATTGGATCAAAATATCATTTATTTTACCAATATTTCAGTTAGCTGAACGCCAACCTTTATCAAGGTGTTATAACATTTTAAAGTTTGTCAACAACAAACTCAGCACCACATAACGTCAACAGCATTTTTTTTCTCCCAATTGAATATTAAAAAATATTTTTAAAAACTTAATGCTGTTGACGTTATGTGGCGCTGAGTTTGTTGTTGACACACATTAAATATGTTATAACACCTTGATAAAGGTTGGCGTTCAGCCAACTGAAATAGTGGTAAAATAAATGATATTTTGATCCAATATATGTCTTTTTAGTTAAACAACTATGACTACATTGAAGGTGGCATTGGATAATATTCAGAAGATGCTCCATTTTAAAATACGATTTTTGCAACACTAGCTCGCGAAAAAACTCGCAATATAAATTATGTTTAATATATTCGAAAAAACAAACATTTATTTTCCTTTTATTATTAAAAACATTCATTTTTATATAAGATTAAAATAAGTTTGAAAAAATTGTACAAATGTGATATTGTACTGGGATAAGGTGCATAATTATGAAAAAAAGGCATCTCCTTATCGTGCAACTGAAAGTTGCTGATGGCTTGCGCCATCTATCTGAATAAATATCAATTATTCTTGTTGATTTTTAATTATTCCAGAATTGACCAAATACCCATTCTTGATTAATCAAGCAAATTTCAGTTGCACGATAAGGAGATGCCTTTTTTCATAAAAGAAGTTTGTTGAACTTTAATATATTTTTTAGACATTTGTATTCCAAAATATAATCAATAATTACACCCCTCAATTTGTTAATTAGAGTCAAATTTGATTATTTATTCACTTTTTCTGAGTGAAACACTTTCAATTTTCATAATGGGTTTCAATTAAAAAAAAAAAAAAAACGTGTCAATGAATTCATTTAAATTTAGGGAATAACCTTTCGTAGATTGGTAAAACATTTATCAATCCTTAATCTAGGTATACATTTCTGCAAAAACAGTTCTAGAAACATACACTCATGGACAAAAACTTCAGGAATTGGAAAGTCATTGATGCCGCCGGTCGTCTGTTTATTTTTTAAGGAGACAAAGGCAATTTTTTTATACTGTAATATCTTTCAGAGTTATTGTCTGAATATCACGATATACATGCTAAAAGGTACAACTTCCTTAAGTTTTGTCCATGAGTGTATCTTTCAGAGTTATTGTCTGAATCTCGATATACATGCTAAAATGTACAACTTCCTTAAGTTTTGTCCATAAGCATATATGTTCATAGTTTTTTCCAAAACACCAATTCACTCTACTCAATCACAAATATGCATGGTATTAATTCAATACAATACAAGAGCTAACCTAGCGATTAAAATGGCAAAATCGCTGGGAGGGTTCACCATGATGAGCGATACCCACCCTTTTTATATTTTTATTTATCGCAGTATAGGACCGTATAAATAACTTTTATTTATAAATATTTGAAACATGGCGTTAAAATACTTCTGATATTTTTAATGAATAAGTTAACTCAATAACCTTATAGAAGACAAAACCTCCAGCGGTATAACACCTGACATCATCTTTATGAAAAAAAGAGATTTTTGTAGTCGTTAGAAGGATAAAAATGTATAATTCCTACACTCATGAGTGTAGCTATTATAAATTCTTATTCTTTTGACGACTGCAAAAATCATTATTTATCATAGAATTGGTTTAGTCCAGGGATCGGCAAACTTCTGAGTAGGAAGAGTCAAAAATTGCAATTTACAAAATTTACAAAGTTTTTAAAGATCTCTCTCTCTCCCCCCACAACATTATTTCATAAATAATATTTAAGTATGGAACTATGTAAAGAGCCGCAGTTTAATATACAAAGAGCCGCATGTAGTTCGCGAGCCGCGGTTTACTGACGCCTTGTTTAACCAGTTCACAGCTAAAACCATTCTGGGAGAATTGGTAACTTTCTTGTGAATCTCTTGTGGCTATTATTTGATCTAAGCCACTTTAAACTGATGATAGACATAGCTTGAAAAATGTTTCACCCACGTGGATTTCTAAATTTGCCAAAGTAGATGAAGCGTGTTCACTAGTCACTACTAGATTGTAGATATCGTCAGAAAAAAATATTTTTGTTTCTATTAATCTGGAGTTAGTTCTTTCCTCTTTTAATTTTATTTATGAAATACACTCATGGATAAAACTTAAGGAAGTTGTACCTTTTAGCATGTATATCGGGATTCAGATAATAACTCTGAAAGATACACTCATAGACAAAACTTAAGCAAGTTGTACCCTTTAGCATGTATATCGGGATTCAGAAAATAACTCTGAAAGATACACTCATGGACAAAACTTAAGGAAGATGTACCTTTTAGCATGTATATCGGGATTCAGACAATAACTCTGAAAAATACACTCATGGACAAAACTTAAGGAAGTTGTACCTTTTAGCATGTATATCGGGATTCAGACAATAACTCTGAAAGATACACTCATAGACAAAACTTAAGCAAGTTGTACCTTTTAGCATGTATATCGGGATTCAGGCAATAACTCTGAAAGATACACTCATGGACAAAACTTAAGGAAGTTGTACCCTTTAGCATGTATATCGGGATTCAGAAAATAACTCTGAAAGATACACTCATGGACAAAACTTAAG